CCCCCCATCAGGTTATTTTAATTGTACATACATAAGATGTTCTACATCAGGGGTAGCCAAACTCTGGTCCTCCAGCTGCGGTGGAACTACAAATCCCATAATCCCATGGGTCATTGCAACATTCTCACAGACATGACTCCCGGAGAGATATGCATCATGGGATTTGTAGTTTAACCGCAGTTGGAGTGGACCAGAGTTTGGCTACCCCTGTCCTACATCACCTCTTGCTAAAGGAAGACTCCAGGAAAAAATAAAGTATTAACCACCCGCGCAAGGGGGCTCTACCCCCCAAAACTCCCCCTGCGATTCGGGACCGGTGGCGGGGACGAGACGAGCGTAGCTGACAGGTTAGTGTGGGGGGGGACTGGGGTAAAAAAAAAAGTGCTGGGCTTACGCTTTGCATTGCACTTGGTGATGTGCGGCTTGGAGGCAGCTGCTCGGCCATGGAAACCCGTTCCAAGAAGCTCTCTACGCACTGTTGTTGTGCCAATCTGAAGGCCGCATGGAGTTTGGAGGTCTGTAGCTTTGGACTCTGCAGACTATTGGCGACTTCTGCGCACTGTGCGCTTCAGCATGCGCTGACCCCGCTCTGTCATGTGACGTGGCCGACCACTTCCTGGCTGAGTTGCTGTTGTTCCCAGTTGCTTCCACTTTGTTATAATCCCAGTAACAGGTGACCGCGGCGGAATATTTAGTAGCCAGGAAATGTCACGGAACACCTGAATCCAATGATTTGGAAGGGGAGGGGCCCAATACTTTTGGCAATATAGTGTAGCTGTAAATGGCTCTGGACTGAAGTTGCGGCGGTTGCAGGGTGGGCGTGTCCCGCGTACCTCGTTGCGTTCTTATTCTCATCCCTGAAGCTTGTCCAGAACTATTTAAACATCGGATGAAGTGTGCTAACGCTCGCCCTTTTTGTCGGACTCCTTACAGGTTGTCGGAGGTAAGTCTCCAGAAATAGACTCTGCCGCCTGCGGGGACGTCGCGCGGTAACAAGTTATCAGGTGGTGATGTTGGCGAGAATGTTTATACGGAGGACTGCGAATCGCCGCTTCCCAATTAGCCCTCCGCGGCGCCCCCGGTGGCTCACGTGCGAGATTCCTGATCGCCTGCCATTGTTTTATCAGAGGAGCCATCTGCTGCTCTTCTGTTTCATAACTGTATGATGAGTATCAGATTTCCGCCAGCAGGCAGCAGCTGTGACACGATGTATCTCCGCCGCGTTCTCGCCGTACTGTCCGCCGGACCGTCGCTTGGGAGCCGCTGTGGGGAAGTAACGGAGCCGCATCGTTGTAACAAACGCTTCGCGATCAGATCAGCGATGGGATTGTATATCAGACCCCCTGGGCAGTGACGTCCCAAGGCCGGATGTCACCCGGAGCGGAGACCCGGTGACACCCCCGCCATGACGTCATCGCGCACGCACAGTCATCTCATTGACGCCTGCCACCAGCCATCTTGGTGATGGACGCCGGCAGAGAGAGGAGGGGACGTTCACCCAGCAGGATGAGTTATGCCGCCGGGTCCCCTCCTGACACTGTCGGGCTCTCGGTCCATGACCTAGTGACCGACTTTCTAGAGGGGGTGACACCAAAATGCTCCAACTACAAATCCCATTATGCCTCCTCCTCTGGGAGTCATAGCTATGGCTGTTAGAGTGTTGCAATGCCTCCTGGGACTTTTAGTTCCACACCATCTGGGTTGCCTGATGAGCATGAGCTTTGGTCTCTTCCTATGGAAGGCGGCTGGAGCTGTGCTGATTGGTGGTGCAGTTTGTATACATTGGTCACCATTTCCTCCGCCGTGTGTGCTCAGATCTGCACGTTTCCCAGAAAACACCACGGGGTCGGAGTGTAAGGCCCCATTCACATGTAGCAACATACCTTTGCAGCGGCCGGGATAGCGCGACTTTCGGGGCGACGATCCAGCGACGGTCCAGCGACGGTAGCGCGACCTTCTCCATCGGGCTCCATAGAAAAAAGCAAAATCGTGCAAAATCCGCCGAAAAAAGGTTACTGTAGAAGCGACTTGCGACCGCGACGAGCTAAGACAGCTCCATTGACTATCATTAGCCGGCGACTTCTCGCGATATCGCGCGGCAAAAATGCGCGATATCGCAGCGGAAATCGCGCGATAAGTCGCTACATGTGAATGGGGCCTAAATGAGACATTTTTGGAGTCCTGTGGGCTGGATGGCATCGGATATTTTCGCTGGTCTGGCGGTTTGTGAGCGTTGTCGTGAGAAGAAGAAGACGTCGTTAAATGAGATCTGCGTCTCTGTCCTCGGGCCCAGCGCTGGGCGAGCGCCGCATTCTCCGGAACGTGACAGAGACGCTCATTCCTCCTAATTCACCACAAT